TTTTAATTTCCTAGCTTTAATCCAATATGCATTAAAATAAATAATCCTTCCACGTATAAAAGCTTTAAATGTTTCCCATAGAAGTGATGGCGAAACCGATTCTGATTTGTTGGTTTCCAGAAAGAAATCAATGCTCCTAGAGATATAATCACAACCCAGTATTAAGCTTCCAGCCTCCAGCATGTCTACATAAGTTTTGGGGGACAGAAAGGTCTAAAATGGGACTTAACTAGAGATAATAGAGCTTTGTCTATAAAAAAAATAATCAATTCGCGAATAAACATGGTGGACATTCGAAAAGAAAGAAAAATATTTTGCAGTTGGATTAAGGAAGTGCCAGGGGTCTACACATCCCAATTGATCCATTAGAGATGAGAAGGACCTAGACATTGACATAGGAGCTGATGACTTGGGTTGTGAGCAGTCTAAATTTGGGTTGACTGTGCAATTAAGATCCCCACCTAAAATAAGGCAGTGAGTGTCCAAATTTGGAAGATGGGAGAAGAGTGTGGTCATAAAAGCAGGGTTATCATAATTAGGTGCATACACGCTAGCTAATATGACAGGTGTTTGGTACAGAATTCCAGATACTATTACGTAGCGCCCATCAGGATTGGAAAATACATTGTGTGGGACAAACTTTATCCGTTTGTGTATTACGATAGCAGTGCCTCTAGATTTACTATTAAAATTTGAATGAAAAACTTGACCAATCCATGGCTTGCGTAGTCTAACCTGGTCACTAACTCTGAGATGAGTCTCCTGTAGAAAACCAATATCAGTAGACAGGCTCTTTAAGTGTGAAAACACTTTTGATCTTTTAATTTGACCACCTAGACCCCTCACATTCCAGGTAACAAATTTGACAGTATGACCACACACTGTTTTCATGATGACGTTTCCTATTACCTTGAACAACATACAAGAAATGCAGTTCATATATCATCAGAAATATCTAATCCAAACATCAATCCAAGACACACAGTAAATATGGACTGCAATTGACTGCAATGAAAAATAACAAACATTAGGACGGTTTCTTTCTTTATTCTTGTTTTTTTTTTGGATACAATGTGCAAAATAACAGGTAAGGGATATACCATAAATATTATATTTGCATTACCTTTATGGGCCACATTTGGAGGCATGACTACCAAAACATGCAATATATGTAATTATTTTTTAATTCAATATTGTCACAATGGGAACCTGTTGTTTATGGACACTGATTTGAGAATTACTCATTTAAAATTAGTAATGCATATATAATAAATAAATAGTATATTCATATAAAAATTCACAACATATGAAATATTTTAAAAACCTAATACTGTATATGTTTAACATGATATGTTTCTAACAGCAAAATGAAAAGGTAACAGAACATTTAGCCATTGTTAGCCAACAGAAATTAAGTGTATTAATTGTATAAAATCACAACATATCGTTAGTAAATATGACAACATGACAAGCTCTAAAATAAGTTTGACAGCTAATGGTCTGTTAATAGCGAGAACCTTAAAGTCCCCATGAAATCAAAATTAAAGTTTTTTGGGTGTTAGTGTCAATATGTTAGTCTTAAGGTTATCTATACAAATGTGACCTGCAAGGAATATTACTGTTATGTTTTTAACCTTCTAAGAACTACATTCTTTACACTGTAAAATCCAATAGTTTACCTTACTTAGATTTAATTAGTAATCTTTACTTAGTTGTTATACTTACTAGGTTGTATTAAGTTACAGCTACTTTCAAGGCAAATAAAACAATTTACTTACTGTTTTGAGTAACACTTAAAATATTCAAGTAGCCACGAAGGAACCAATGACATTAATAAAGCAGTGAGAGGCAGCCGTGCGCTAATATGTTGCTAATGTGCAACATAACAACAGAAGAAGAAGAAAAGAAAACGAGTCTTAATAGACTTTTAGTCATCTTGAATGTTGAATTCTCAATACAACTGAAATATCTGAGAGAACATCACATAAGCTAACTTCATAAACTGATGTTGATTTTCCTAAAATATATTTTTTTTAACTCACCATTATAGTGATTAGCGTTCCCTTTGTTTGGGCACTTGGAACTTAGTTAATGTTATTATAATTTTTTTGTTGTTAGTGCAGCAATGCATCATGAATTCAGAGTTACTTGATTTCAAGAGAAGAAAAGTAATAAATAGATTGGTTTTAGAAGGTGATTTATCTTCTAATTAAAGCATTAGTGTATTTTGTTGTGTGTTTATTAATAAACTTTTTCATATTTAATTTTTCATAAATATCTTTAGATGCTTTTGATTGGGTTTATATAATTCTTAAATAATGTGTGGTAGTATGTTAAAGTCACACACAGACTTAAACATTCAGCACGTGAATCACAACAATGGTAACAATTCAATTTCATTTTTTTTTCATGTATTGTAACAATAACCATTTTATTTGCTCTTTTTGTTGTGCTACTACTGACACAAGACAGCAAATAAAATTGGCAAATAAAATCAACAATTGTAAAACAAAGCAACTGCATAATTTATTCATGCCGCAATGCACTCTGGGAGTCAGTGAGTAGCTATACTAAGTCATGAGTAAACCTTCATGAAAGGATCAAGTACCCCCTACAGTTCTTTTTTAGTTACTAGAACTCTTGTGTAAGTAAACTATACTAAGCATTTGTAGTACAACATACTATTTCTATTTCACTTTACTTAGTTTTTTCAAGGCAATCGGTTTGCATGCTTTTTTTAAGTAAGCCCAACTAATTAGATTTTACAGTGTAGTCAGTGATTCATGCCATTAGTTCCAGACCACTCGTCATCCCGTGGCAGCAGTTAAGGGCTCTGCTCAATTCAAATGACTCCAGAGAGTTTGGTGATGAGGGTCGTTTCTAGGCATAGGCGAGCTAGGCGGTCGCCTAGGGCGCCACCAGCTGAAGGGGCGCCAATGAGCGCACGTACTGGCACTTTTAGCAGGGTTGTGTTGCTGTGAAGGAGGGTAAAGATCTCCAGAAACCTCACCGTCAGTGCTGCTGGGGTCACAGGTCATAAGTGTCTTAGTGAGAGCACTTTACAACATGTTTTTCACAGCTTAAACTTTCATGATGTTATGTCATAAATTTAGAGAGCTATGCTTTACATGAATCTGATTTGATTATTTGAGCCTGTGTGACTAAAATTATTAGATGGAGCTGATGGAGTTTCTGCAAACTAATGAAACTTAGTTACACTATATTTTAAGGTGTCCTTATTACAGGGTAATCATACATTTAAGTATTAAGTAATGTTAATTAATTCCTACTGATTTAGGGTTAGTTGCATGCAATTATGCATAATTTACTGTTATTACTATATTAAATATGGGTAACATGTGTAACAGACACTGTCAAATAAGTGTTACCCGAAGCTGTAAATATATGTCCATTATTTTATCTGTGATATGATGACATTATACAGTCATTGTTTTTTCTTAAGTCTACTTTTAATCTTTTTTGCAACAGATTTATAATAATTTTGTGTGCGGTTACAAATTATTATAGTGAATTGTAGTGCATACCAGGAATGTATGTTTAATGTGGGCCTGCAAAAGACTTAAGAAGATCAAAAGGTTAAAGTTCAGCTAGAAGTGAGGGTCACCTGCCACCTTCTGGCATCCTGCTGCCAATGCTGTTTAAAACCATAAACACTGGCAATACACTTTTTGGTGCCCATGTTAACAGGTTAGACTAGTTAAAGGGGTCATATGATGTTGCTAAAAAGAACATTATTTTGTGTATTTGGTGTAATGAAATGTGTTTATGCGGTTTAAGGTTAAAAAAACATTATTTTCCACATACTGTACATTATTGTTTAAAATTGAAATCGCATCATATGACCCCTTTAAGATTCAACAACAAACATTTTTCAAATATCTTCCAGTGTGTTCTGCAGAAGAAAGAAAATTATACAAGTTTGGAACAGGGTGAGTAGATGATGGTAGAATTATAGTTGCTGGGTTTGTTTGACAACTAGAAAACTGGTAAATACTTTTGTCATATTTTTTAATAACATAAACACTTCTTTGACACGCGAAACCTAGCAAACTTCTTGAATTGTTTTACTTTAAAAGTGCCCTGGAGAGATGGCATATGGTGTAAAAAAAAATAGAGTGTCTTATTGTTTGCAAATCTGTGAATGAGATGCATATTTGGTATTAATTTTAAAAGATATTGGGAAAAGATATTTTTTAAAAATACCTATTTGATGAAAGAGATGAAAGTATATAATATAATTTACAGGATACTAAACTTAATATTATTTAACAGATTTAACTTTATTTATTGTCAAATGGACAAATAACAATACCATATTTAAATACATTTTAAAAATATATAAAAATTAGGCTATGTTTTTATGAAAATATAAACCAATGTGCATGCCCCAGGTTTATATGTGACATTATATTTGATGGGTTATAGATTATAAAAACTAGGGCTAACTTATTGAAACAAAAATAACGACATTTCTTACGATCCTCCTCCCTATGGTCAGTTCAGTATAGGTTTTAACAGTCTTGAAATTTGAGCCTGTGCCTTTAAGAAGTGGCCCCATGCAGTGCCGGGAGCCCGAGGCGCCTTTAGCCAAATTACTGAAGTTCAGAGGAAGTGACGGGAATATACAGGAGCTTTCTTTAAGAGTTAGTAATTCAACGAACAGAAAAAGAAATGTATACAGAGAAGGCTTTTAAGAAGAAACTGTTCGTGTATAATAAAGCCAGTATTTTCTGAGTCACAACAACGCAAACATAAGATGAAAATTAAAATTTTGACGGAGGCGCAGTTTCTGCGAACATGATCGAGCTGCAAGTATTAGTTTACAAACTATTATTTTATAATCGACCGTTAACTACCAATCTAAAAAGTAGTTTACATACGCTGTCCACCGTTTTGTTGTCTGTTTTAAGTAATGTACTCTGACGATATGGGCATATCGTACGGGCAGTATTGAGTTTACATCCTTGGCGTCCTTTGTAATGAACGCGAGAGTGGCTTTAGTCCAAATAGCGTTCGTCGTGTTTACGCTGCTATTATCGGTAAGTGTTTGCTCACAGTTGACGGTGCTCGTTCGTCTCAACGATGGTCAAATAACGGAGGAGCTATTAGAGGCGGATAGTGAGAAGGACATTATAACAGTGGAGTTCAGGCAGACAGACGGGACTCTCATCACATTCCTGTCTGATTTTAAGCGCGTGAGTATAAATCCAACTAAATGTATTTCAACCACAGCTGCGATTGAACTTGAAAATAGTCACAGACTTACACCTTCAAATCCCAGTGCAGCCCTGCAATACAACTGTATTACTGTGGCAACAAAATAATAAGTCAAGGTTTATTTTTGTTGGACGTGCACCATACTAAGTATATAAGTAATACTAAAGTAAATACTCTGGTATATAAACTTCAATACCATGGTATCTCAGACTACCATTACTATCTGATGCATGTTGCATTTTAATTAAAAGTAAAAAGGTATTTCAAAATGCATAGTATATTCCAAAAACATAGACTTACCAGTCTTTGGTAGTTTTTTGTTTTTTTTGGTTACACTTTATTTTAAGGTGTCCTTGTTACAGTGTAATTTGACATTTAAGTACTGAGTAATATTAATTAACTACATACTATATGGTTAGGGTTAGGATTAGGGTTTAGTTTAGGTTTATTTGCATGTAATTATGCATAATTTAATGTTATTATAATAGTAAGTATACTTACTATTCGTCAGTGTTAAATTCCCAGTGTTAAAGCATGTCAGAGTAAAGTGTTGACGTTATAGAGTTAGATTTTGAGAAATTAAGACTATCAGAGATAGAAGCTGATTTGATTCAGTGTAAAATCACAGTGTTACAGGTAACCAACACTTGCCAATGTTATTTCCAACATCCTGGTATTTATGCAGCGCTGTCACTGAAGAATCTTCCATACGCCATTTCCCTCAGTTTCAGAATAGCAACTGGTAAATCAAGCTACCTCAGTGTTTGTACTTTATAGACTTTCTGTATGGAAATACAGTTATAAATGTACTGTTAGTTAAATGACTTAAGACAGAGTTTTAAGTGAGAGTTTGGCGGTTCAATCGTGGTTGGTTGTGTAGTTAGTTCGCCGAACTAAGCGGTACTTTCTTGACTTCTATTCAATACTGACAGCTATTAGAATGTTATTTTAAGTAATTGAATGTACGTGAGTGTGTTTAAATGGCCGCGTTTTGCACTTTCACAGACATTAAGTAGTTGTATAGCCATGGACTTAACATTATTGGACATGTACAAGTTTTTTTTTCTCCTGCATGGTGCCTAAAAACATAACATTTACATGTACACGGTATTTCTGTCTCCGTAAAGGCTATTTTGTGCGCTGTTACAGCCACCAGTCTGTAAAAAAAAAAAGAAAAATCAACGTTTCCTTTAATTCGTATTTTAGCGCCCAAACGAGCGAGGGGAAGCTCAGTCTCTGCTGGTGCAATTCTTCCAGACGCCGTTTTCCCTCGCTTAAGAGAGTTGCTGAAGTATATCTGGTGAGTAAATTAATAAAGTAATTTAATGTACATAAGTGTGTTTAAATGGCTGCCTTTTTGCTCTTCCTCAGACATTTGTTCACCCAAAAATAAAATAAAATCAACGCTACTTCTTTAATCCGTATTTTAGCGCCGAAACTAGCAAGGGGAAGCCCTGCCTCTGCTCTTGCAGTACTTCCAGACGCCATTGTCTACGCTTAAGAGAGTTAAAGATACTTCTCTGGCAAGTAAAGCTACTTAAAGGGTACTTCAATATTTCACCAAAAATGAAAATTCTGTCTTTAATTACTCACCCTCATGTCGTTCCAAACCCGTAAGACCTCCGTTCATCTTTGGAACACAAATTAAGATATTTTTGATGGAAGCTGAGATCTCTCAGACCCTCCATAGACAACAAGGTTACTACCACGATCAAGGTCCAGAAAAGTATAAAGGAGATAGGTAAAACAATCCATGTGACATCAGGGGTTCAACTAATTTTACGAAGCTACGAGAATAGTTTTTGTGCACAAAAGAAAGGAAAAAAAAAAACAGACTTTATTCAAATTTGTCTCCGCGTCACCCTAGCGTCATTTTGGAGAATATCCACTGAACGCAAAGCACATAATTACTTATTATAATGACTTATACCGTCTTTTTACGCGTTTCGTTGCGTATCGCACTGCATAAACAAAACTATGTCTGCATTTGTGATCGAAGAAACGACAAACAACAAGCACTACTCTACACTGATCAAAACTCGTGTTTGAATCGTCAATGGCAAATTCTTTAAATGTAAAAAAACGTACTTACAGACTGTGAAGCCAAGTTGCTGAATGATGTATAGGTGTTAACGTTTGTCGGACACTTCATCATTCAAGTGTATACTTGATTCGACATCTCAAACTTTCACATGGTTTATATCCTGGCAAAAAGTTTCATTTGTTGTGTGCACAGGATGGTTGTTCTTTGGAGTTTAAAAGTTACTGTGGTTTCAGACGACATCTTAAACTTTTTCACAGTGACAGTGACACTGAACTTCCGAGTTGCTCTGATGAAATATCAGATTCAACTGTCATCACATCTGTAGGTATGCCGGCTCTGCCTATGAGTGGACCAAACAGTTCATCATCTTAAGAAATACATTTTCTCTTGATGCAAATGGAGGCCGTTTTGAGCATCTGCATGCATTTCAGGTTGAAGAACTTGATGATTTTTGCATTGTGAAGCAACATGAACTGCAGCACCCCAAACCCTTTGACCTTCAGATGTCATATGACTCTGATTCGTTCTTGTATGTTGTTACAGATTGTTGCCTTTTGTAGAGCACTGAAACTGCATGTGCTATGTTGTTAAATAAACAGTTGAAATTTGGCTTTGAAGGGTTGTTTTAACAGTTCAACATTTTACAACTGTTTGGAGTTTTAAACACTTACTGCAGTGTTGTTATTGAACTCTAATAGTGTTACATTTTTACACCCTATTAGTGTTGGTAATATCAACTACTTATTTCAGTGTTGTTTTTGAACTCTTAATAGTGTTACATTTTTACACCCTATTAGTGTTGGTAATATCAACTACTTATTTCAGTGTTGTTTTTGAACTCTTAATAGTGTTACATTTTTACACCCTATTAGTGTTGGTAATATCAACTACTTATTTCAGTGTTGTTTTTGAACTCTAATAGTGTTACATTTTAACACCATGTTAGTGTTGGTAATATCAACACTTTTGAAAGTGTTACATTGACACTCATGTGGTGGTATCCATATATACACTGACAAAGTGTTAAATTTAACTATTGTTAAATTTCCGATTTCAGATTTGCTGTATACATGTAAGGTAAGAAGGACACCTTAAAATATAGTGTTAGCCTATATTATTTTTCTATTATGGTAAATGAATGTCATTATGATAGCATCATTTGCTATCATGGTGCTGTATGTACAGCATCAACGTACCGTGGTATTACCATCTGATGCTGCACCATGGTACTTTTTAAAATGGTGATATAAGTCTCCAAACAAAAACACTTTTTGTGACTTGATGGCACTACTTACCATCACTTGGTTTAATATGGTTAAAGAACTGAGCTTTTAAAATGCTTTTCAGCGAGACATCAGATCTAGTTTTATGAATCACACAACACGTGTATTTATCAGCTTGAATGTTATTTTAAACGTTTGAGAGGACTTTAAAGTGGCATTGTTAGATTTATATTGAATCATGTATCTAACAGATGGATTTGTTTGTGCTGATGTAAATTACTATCTGAAGATCATATTTTGGCCATAAAACATCTACAATACTCAGATAGTCATACAGCCAAAGTCATGCTGTGGACTGTATGGGAAACATCATGCAATATGCAAAGCAGCCAAAGAAACACAAAGCATGGAACATCCATGATTGTATATTATATAACATAATTAAATTAATTTTTCCATTTGTGATTTAAAGGAGTTTTTGTACTAATTACCTCTAAACATTAAAACACATGATTTGGATGCATTTAAAAGAACGGAGTGTCTATTTACACTAAGTGCAAATATCCCACCTTGTTGGCAGAGGCTATTTACACTAACTCCACCCAGAAACGTGTGATGGGGATGGTCAACAATATAAAAGATGGCAGACAATCATCAGCTTCAGTGGCGTAGGTGGTAAAGCGTGTATCGTAGTCTTTTTGACGCAATCGACCCGGGTTTGAATCTGCCTTTTGCCTAACTTTTTTTTTCTCCCTTTTCAAATCTCATATCACATCGGAAAGGCATTTATTTTCAATAAAAATTAAGGAAATAATCAAAAAGTTGAAAATAAAGTATCGGGTAGGGTTAGGGTAGGTGTAGGGAGGGCTTTATTGTTCCAATAAGGTGGCATCCATTTAATAATTTGAATTTAAATGATAATTTACACTCAATACGTTATTACTGCATACTGTTTTATAATGTACTATAATAATGAGGTGCAGATTATTGCCACTATTTGCAATAAGTAGTATAAATAGCAGAAAGTCCTGCTATTTTCACTTAGTGTAAATAGAATCCATTGCTATTTGCACTTCGTGTAAATAGCCTCTATCGCTATATACACTTAGTGCAAATAGCCACTGCCTTAAAAGAATGTTCTGGGTTCAGTACAAGTTATTGTTCGCATAGTATTGTTTACCACAAAATTACTTATAGGTTACAAAAAATATCTAGGTTACAGCAGGGTTGCCAGGTCTGCATAACCAAACCTGCTTAATTGGTTTTTAAAACGCTTGGTGGAAAACCACAGATTTGGCAACACTGGGTTACAGTGAGGCACTTGCAATGGAAGTGAACAGGGCCAATTTTTAAACATTAAAATACTTAATGTTTTAAGGCTGTAGCTACTAGATATAAACATTATGTGTTAACATGATTATTGTGTGAAAATATAAAATACTAACATTTTCTGTATAAGAGTTGCGACAAGTCAAATTTATTTGCTGGTGTAATCAATATTATGCCACAAATGCTGCCGATTGAGCGGAACTGTACTGAACCCGAAATATTCCTTTAAGAGCAGTAGGACCTTGCTGTCCTGAAAACATTGTGTCTATGAAGTACTTCCTCCCACTCCATATAGTGTCATTTTGATGGCCTGACTCACAACAGTTTTACCATCACACACACACACACATTCCTCTCTACATTCAAGAAGCCATTAGCTTTTAGTGAAGCAATGCCAACTTTTCTTTATCACTCTTTGTAACAGAATCTACCAGACCTTTTAAAAACAAAGTCTATTCTCCTAGTTTTTTGAGGAAAACGAGCCTGTTCTCTAGCTGACGTTCACACTGCTCCAGTCATATTCAGTGTGATTGCTGTAGTGCAGTTACCACTAGGACGGAGGCAAAGAAAAGCAGTATTGTTGTCATGAAAGAGAGGCTGTATTCTCGGTTATGTGCATATGGGAGCAGTTAGCCTGCTTTGCTCTGGGTAAGTTGGTGGATCAGCTGATGCTCAGGCTCGTGGTAAGAGGTTACGCTTGAGATGCATGTGCTCTGAAGAGCTGGTCTGTTTATAGACAGGGGCCTCTCTTTTGTTTTAGTGTTCACAAAATAAAGGCTTTAAAAAATTGTATAACAAGTAACTTTTGGAATTAAAAAAACATCATTCCAAAACAACTTTTGGAATTGAGACTAAATGGTTCCTGATGGTTTTACATCTAATTCTTCACATTAATTCTTAAATCTTTTGCAGTTAACGTGTCTTTTCTTCTCCACCTGTTTTTTTCTGACCCCACTGTCCCAGTGAGCATTTTGCTGTCCAATGGTCATGTCTTAACTGCAATTTCTGTATTGCATTAGTTTTGAATATTTCTCATGGGGATTTAATCATTTGTGGCATCTCCGTCTGAGTTAAACCTCTGTTTTGGCTCATTTTATCTGTAAAAGAAAACATGCCTAATAATTCTGCACACCTGGATATAAGGAGTTTTCACTTCCAGCCTTCATGGACAATTATATATCACTTATCAGTTCAAATGATTAAATACAGAATCAATAGTAGTTATTAAGATTGATGTGGTTTGGAATTGTTAAAATGTGCTTGGAAAACAAATATCATCAGAATATCAACGTGCCTAATAATTATGCACACTGCACAGTCTGTATACTGTATGTGAGCCTGTTCTTCCAATTAGCATATCCTGTAGTTTCATAGGAAAGACATCCTGGTAATAAAATCCCCTAATTCATTGCTAAAATGTAGGTTTGTCTTATGACTGTGTCTAAGCACACATTTTCTTTCTAATATTTTCTAACAGCATGTGAAGATCTTTCATGCACTGGTGCTTGGGGAGCCAGAGAAGGGCCAATCTCAGTACCAGGCCCTCTGCTTCATCTCGCATTTGGATCATGGAGAGCTCATCCCGAGTGAGGCCATGGCTCGACTCAGACAGGTCAACATTTAAAGAATTTTAAAGCATCATCTGTGGCACCCTGCTGAAAAGACCAGCTTCAGCTAACTTTCATGCTGGTTGTGGCTTAAAGAGATAGTTCACCCCAAAATTAAAATTCTGTCGTCATTTATTCACCCTCATGTTTTTCCAAGCATGTACACATTTCTTTCTTGTTCCATTTACTTTTGAAGTATGGACAAAAAATAACTTTTTTTTTTTTTTTTTCAAAATGCACAATGCATAGCACAGGAATAAATGTTAGTCACAAAGAAAGTCATACACATATATTATGTATTGCTAATCAGCAGGGAGAGAATTATTGAACCATTGATGGCTTAATGTCAGTATTTTTGTGATTTGTTTCTTAGTATTAACCTTATGCCCTGAGACGTTCTTATGTGTGAACCCAACAGAAATACCCTCATGTGGTGCGAAGTGCGGACGAGAGACGCAGTGTGGAACAGTTCACTATGAATGCAGCGCTCAACATGAGTCGCTCCTGGCACCTCAGTACTCATATTCATAATGTCTGCAGGGATGCACGAGACCTGGTGTACACACGACAGCAAGATGTCAAATACTGGCTGGAGAAAGGTTAGATGAGAGGGTCGTTAATACAGCCCCATTAAGGCTGGTAATATTACTAATATTACTCGTGCTCTGTGAAGTACTGTTTTCAACAACTATATTAATATATAACTATTTTTAACATTGATAACATTGATAACTGCTTCTTGAGCACCAAATCAGCATATTAGAATGATTTCTGAAAGATCATGTGACACTGAAGACTAGTTACACCCTATTAGTGTTGGTAATATCAACTACTTATTTCAGTGTTGTTTTTGAACTCTAATAGTGTTACATTTTAACACCATGTTAGTGTTGGTAATATCAACACTTTTGAAAGTGTTACATTAACACTCATGTGGTGGTATCCATATATACACTGACAAAGTGTTAAATTTAACTATTGTTAAATTTCCGATTTCAGATTTGCTGTATACATGTAAGGTAAGAAGGACACCTTAAAATATAGTGTTAGCCTATATTATTTTTCTATTATGGTAAATGAATGTCATTATGATAGCATCATTTGCTATCATGGTGCTGTATGTACAGCATCAACGTACCGTGGTATTACCATCTGATGCTGCACCATGGTACTTTTTAAAATGGTGATATAAGTCTCCAAACAAAAACACTTTTTGTGACTTGATGGCACTACTTACCATCACTTGGTTTAATATGGTTAAAGAACTGAGCTTTTAAAATGCTTTTCAGCGAGACATCAGATCTAGTTTTATGAATCACACAACACGTGTATTTATCAGCTTGAATGTTATTTTAAACGTTTGAGAGGACTTTAAAGTGGCATTGTTAGATTTATATTGAATCATGTATCTAACAGATGGATTTGTTTGTGCTGATGTAAATTACTATCTGAAGATCATATTTTGGCCATAAAACATCTACAATACTCAGATAGTCATACAGCCAAAGTCATGCTGTGGACTGTATGGGAAACATCATGCAATATGCAAAGCAGCCAAAGAAACACAAAGCATGGAACATCCATGATTGTATATTATATAACATAATTAAATTAATTTTTCCATTTGTGATTTAAAGGAGTTTTTGTACTAATTACCTCTAAACATTAAAACACATGATTTGGATGCATTTAAAAGAACGGAGTGTCTATTTACACTAAGTGCAAATAGCCCACCTTGTTGGCAGAGGCTATTTACACTAACTCCACCCAGAAACGTGTGATGGGGATGGTCAACAATATAAAAGATGGCAGACAATCATCAGCTTCAGTGGCGTAGGTGGTAAAGCGTGTATCGTAGTCTTTTTGACGCAATCGACCCGGGTTTGAATCTGCCTTTTGCCTAACTTTTTTTTTCTCCCTTTTCAAATCTCATATCACATCGGAAAGGCATTTATTTTCAACAAAAATTAAGGAAATAATCAAAAAGTTGAAAATAAAGTATCGGGTAGGGTTAGGGTAGGTGTAGGGAGGGCTTTATTGTTCCAATAAGGTGGCATCCATTTAATAATTTGAATTTAAATGATAATTTACACTCAATACGTTATTACTGCATACTGTTTTATAATGTACTATAATAATGAGGTGCAGATTATTGCCACTATTTGCAATAAGTAGTATAAATAGCAGAAAGTCCTGCTATTTTCACTTAGTGTAAATAGAATCCATTGCTATTTGCACTTCGTGTAAATAGCCTCTATCGCTATATACACTTAGTGCAAATAGCCACTGCCTTAAAAGAATGTTCTGGGTTCAGTACAAGTTATTGTTCGCATAGTATTGTTTACCACAAAATTACTTATAGGTTACAAAAAATATCTAGGTTACAGCAGGGTTGCCAGGTCTGCATAACCAAACCTGCTTAATTGGTTTTTAAAACGCTTGGTGGAAAACCACAGATTTGGCAACACTGGGTTACAGTGAGGCACTTGCAATGGAAGTGAACAGGGCCAATTTTTAAACATTAAAATACTTAATGTTTTAAGGCTGTAGCTACTAGATATAAACATTATGTGTTAACATGATTATTGTGTGAAAATATAAAATACTAACATTTTCTGTATAAGAGTTGCGACAAGTCAAATTTATTTGCTGGTGTAATCAATATTATGCCACAAATGCTGCCGATTGAGCGGAACTGTACTGAACCCGAAATATTCCTTTAAGAGCAGTAGGACCTTGCTGTCCTGAAAACATTGTGTCTATGAAGTACTTCCTCCCACTCCATATAGTGTCATTTTGATGGCCTGACTCACAACAGTTTTACCATCACACACACACACACATTCCTCTCTACATTCAAGAAGCCATTAGCTTTTAGTGAAGCAATGCCAACTTTTCTTTATCACTCTTTGTAACAGAATCTACCAGACCTTTTAAAAACAAAGTCTATTCTCCTAGTTTTTTGAGGAAAACGAGCCTGTTCTCTAGCTGACGTTCACACTGCTCCAGTCATATTCAGTGTGATTGCTGTAGTGCAGTTACCACTAGGACGGAGGCAAAGAAAAGCAGTATTGTTGTCATGAAAGAGAGGCTGTATTCTCGGTTATGTGCATATGGGAGCAGTTAGCCTGCTTTGCTCTGGGTAAGTTGGTGGATCAGCTGATGCTCAGGCTCGTGGTAAGAGGTTACGCTTGAGATGCATGTGCTCTGAAGAGCTGGTCTGTTTATAGACAGGGGCCTCTCTTTTGTTTTAGTGTTCACAAAATAAAGGCTTTAAAAAATTGTATAACAAGTAACTTTTGGAATTAAAAAAACATCATTCCAAAACAACTTTTGGAATTGAGACTAAATGGTTCCTGATGGTTTTACATCTAATTCTTCACATTAATTCTTAAATCTTTTGCAGTTAACGTGTCTTTTCTTCTCCACCTGTTTTTTTCTGACCCCACTGTCCCAGTGAGCATTTTGCTGTCCAATGGTCATGTCTTAACTGCAATTTCTGTATTGCATTAGTTTTGAATATTTCTCATGGGGATTTAATCATTTGTGGCATCTCCGTCTGAGTTAAACCTCTGTTTTGGCTCATTTTATCTGTAAAAGAAAACATGCCTAATAATTCTGCACACCTGGATATAAGGAGTTTTCACTTCCAGCCTTCATGGACAATTATATATCACTTATCAGTTCAAATGATTAAATACAGAATCAATAGTAGTTATTAAGATTGATGTGGTTTGGAATTGTTAAAATGTGCTTGGAAAACAAATATCATCAGAATATCAACGTGCCTAATAATTATGCACACTGCACAGTCTGTATACTGTATGTGAGCCTGTTCTTCCAATTAGCATATCCTGTAGTTTCATAGGAAAGACATCCTGGTAATAAAATCCCCTAATTCATTGCTAAAATGTAGGTTTGTCTTATGACTGTGTCTAAGCACACATTTTCTTTCTAATATTTTCTAACAGCATGTGAAGATCTTTCATGCACTGGTGCTTGGGGAGCCAGAGAAGGGCCAATCTCAGTACCAGGCCCTCTGCTTCATCTCGCATTTGGATCATGGAGAGCTCATCCCGAGTGAGGCCATGGCTCGACTCAGACAGGTCAACATTTAAAGAATTTTAAAGCATCATCTGTGGCACCCTGCTGAAAAGACCAGCTTCAGCTAACTTTCATGCTGGTTGTGGCTTAAAGAGATAGTTCACCCCAAAATTAAAATTCTGTCGTCATTTATTCACCCTCATGTTTTTCCAAGCATGTACACATTTCTTTCTTGTTCCATTTACTTTTGAAGTATGGACAAAAAATAACTTTTTTTTTTTTTTTTTTCAAAATGCACAATGCATAGCACAGGAATAAATGTTAGTCACAAAGAAAGTCATACACATATATTATGTATTGCTAATCAGCAGGGAGAGAATTATTGAACCATTGATGGCTTAATGTCAGTATTTTTGTGATTTGTTTCTTAGTATTAACCTTATGCCCTGAGACGTTCTTATGTGTGAACCCAACAGAAATACCCTCATGTGGTGCGAAGTGCGGACGAGAGACGCAGTGTGGAACAGTTCACTATGAATGCAGCGCTCAACATGAGTCGCTCCTGGCACCTCAGTACTCATATTCATAATGTCTGCAGGGATGCACGAGACCTGGTGTACACACGACAGCAAGATGTCAAATACTGGCTGGAGAAAGGTTAGATGAGAGGGTCGTTAATACAGCCCCATTAAGGCTGGTAATATTACTCAGTTTCACTGTGCTCTGTGAAGTACTGTTTTCAACAACTATATTAATATATAACTATTTTTAACATTGATAATAATAATAACTGCTTCTTGAGCACCAAATCAGCATATTAGAATGATTTCTGAAAGATCATGTGACACTGAAGACTAGGGTAATGATGCTGAAAATTCAGCTTTACCACCACAAGAATAACGTTCATTTTAAAAGATATAAAATTAGAAAACACTTATTTTAAATTGTAATAATATTTCACAATATTACTGGTTTTAGTGTATTTTTCATCAAATATTAGTGTAAATCTCATATACTTTACATATTTATATATTTACCATTATGTAGCCTAGCCTTATTACTAGGGATGCATGATATTATCGGACCGATATCGGAATCGGCCGATAATGGCTTTAAATGTACATATCGGCATCGGCCCGATATGAAAAATTATGCCGATATGTCTTGCCGACAAGAGGAATACGTTAAATATACGTTAAATATTAATACGTTGGGTTAGTTCACCCAAAAATGAAAATTCTGTCATCAATTACTCACCCCCGTGTTGTTCGAAACCCCTAAGATCTTCGTTCATCTTCAGAACACAATTTAAAGGGGTCATATGATGGAAGGCCAAACAAAGTATTTTCGCTTTCACAACGAAACACAGCGTTACACACGGCGGCTTAGAGTGAGCGGCGGCTGGCGGATTTGACGAAGGAGCGGCCGGTGGGCTTGCGGCAACCACATGTGACGACCCCGGGCTGGACTCCGCTTCGTACACAGGATCATGTGACACTGAAGACTAGGGTAATGATGCTGAAAATTCAGCTTTACCACCACAAGAATAACGTTCATTTTAAAAGATATAAAATTAGAAAACACTTATTTTAAATTGTAATAATATTTCACAATATTACTGGTTTTAGTGTATTTTTCATCAAATATTAGTGTAAATCTCATATACTTTACATATTTATATATTTACCATTATGTAGCCTAGCCTTATTACTAGGGATGCATGATATTATCGGACCGATATCGGAATCGGCCGATAATGGCGAGTTACGAAGCTACAAGAATACTTTTTTTGTGCGAAGAAAACAAAAATAACGACTTTATTCTACATTTTCGTCTCTACTGCGTCACTTTGGACGTGCGTTCACGACAGTATCATGACATGAGCGTGTACTGAATGATGATCAAATTCACTGTTTTGGATCATTGCATTTAAACTAAGAATGCACGTACAGAATGATGCGTTCGGTGTATGATAGAGTAGATAGGCAGCCTCCCCTGGGTCCAAATGCCCAATCGGTAAGGAGTTTAGGCGCGGTTGGCCTACTTTTAATAAAATTAATGTAAAATACACAAATAACATTTAGACTGTGTTTCTGATTAAATAAAGTAGTAATTGATGTCATAAAATCATGAGTATGTTTTGATTTAAAGGTCAGAAGCTATAGCTTACATGAAAAAAAATCACAAACATGATACTTGTAAATTAAATATTTTTATATATACTGATTTATTCATTAATGTGTAATATGTTATATTTTTTAAACATTATGAGCTCTAAAAGATTTTTAACATTTTTATAACTCCTTTGCTTTAGACCATCTACATATGGTAAATCTTAAAATAAAATGTTAAGGTTACTACTGCATCTTTTTGAGAGAAAAAAAATGCAGCGATTGATATATAGTTTATTTATAGTTATTTTCAAAGCTTCAATGTACTGTCATTATAAAAGAACTTCATTATTGTTTATTTAATTCTAACAAATAAGTTCTTGTTAAAAACTAACCAAAATTAAAAATTATTTGCTTATAATTTCCACACAGGAGAGACTTGGTGTTGTTTCCAAAGAAAAAAGGAACTATATCGGTATCGGCATCGGCTATCGGCCAAAATGAGTTGAAGAATATTGGCATATCGGATATCGGCAAAAATCCAATATCATGCATCCCTACTTATTACATTTAACATGTTTTAAAGTGCAAAAATAACTAATAACATCCTTAACCTGCAAATATCATACCACTCTACATTACGGATGTGCATCTCCATAACTGAGGCCGATGCGATACGTATCTCCATGCATAGCTAATGATATGATACATTAAAGATACATATGAAGCCGCTATCGATGCGATTCACCCCTATTACGATGTAGTGCGATCCAATTCCGATTCGATTCAACACAATGCGATGCTATGCAGTTCAATAATGTACAGATAGTTCGCTTTTATTTCTTTGGTTCAGACAGTCATGTTAATCTGTATTCTATGTGACTCTCAGGACATGCTTCAGTCTCCGTAGTGCTGTGATACGTCATAGTCACGTAGCAGCAGTGATGATGAGAGAACGTGCTTAAGAAACAGTTTAAAGAGGAGAAATCAATCTACATATAAAATACTGGTCACAAATTATTGGTCAATTTCTAAATAATAAAAGTATAGCACATCTACTAATAATTATATCTAAATGAATCATTTTTTCCTGATGCAAATATGTTAGAAACGATGCATCGTGATACAAATGCCAACTTGTATTTAATGCACACTTTTGCATCGCATCGTTAACATTAATGCTGATGCACCGGTGCGAATCGGTGAATCTTACCATCCCTTCTCTACATTATTTACATTCAGTTTGTTTTGTGCCAAGAACAACATTTTTTTCCCCTGTCAAAATTAGATTTTTAATCCATTTATTTATTTATTTTTATTTTATTTTTTTGAAAATGACCATGACTGTATGCTGGGCCTTTTAACCAAGTCTTTTTCTCTTGACGGGTTGAAGGTTCAGTATTTGACGTCTTTCCTCAGAGTTTGAATGTGACTGACTTGCAGAGCTGCAGCTCCACAACAGACCCATGGCAGCCCTGCGCCTGCAGTTACAGGTTAAACCTGGAGTGGTTCCCCTGTCAGCTGAAGTACTGCCGGGGCCAGGGCTCGAACCCTTACAAATGTGGCATTAAGAGCTGCAGCAAAGGCTACCGCTTCGACTTCTACATGCCTCATAAACAGCTGTGCCTTTGGGATGAGGACAATTAGCAGCATCTGACAAAGGAAATTTGGTTTTCTTAAAATAATGTATTTGTTTGTTTGTGGGAAACATTTTTGTAAGGTACTCTACAACAATGCAAATCTTTTTCTTAAAGAAAGGAACCATTTTGATAATGAGATTATCTAGAAATGACTTGTGCACTTCAGTGATTTGGAAGAAGCTATACATTTTGTCTCAACAGGGAACTTTCTCTGACACGCCTTTAATGGTAGTGAAAGAATGGATATTTTGATGTGGATTGTCAAGCCATTTATCTTTTTTTACTTTTGGTCATCACTACAATGGTACCTCAGGGCAGGAAATAGTTTTATTATAATAAGTTGTATGTTTAGTTCTGCTTAGGGCAGCTGTATTGTAGCTCTTGTTTTTATTCTGTTTAGTTTTTACGTTACTACATTTTTGCGTTAAAATATTGGAATGCTAAAGTCTTAGCTATCCATAACATTCCCAGTGTTGGTGACATTAGTATAAGTATAAAGGAGAATATTTTGATAAATATTCAAATCCCATTGTACAAAAGGTTTACAATATGATGTCTGAATGTGGGTATCTCTGTTTTTTTCCTTTGTATTTTAAAAGTTTCTAAGCTGTTTGATATTTTATGTTAAACCTTATTCATTCTGTTTACTTGGTTTTACCATGTTGCCTTCACTTTAAAGGAATAGTTCAGACATAAATGAAAATGTACTCACCCTCAAGCCATCCAAGATGTAGATACGTTTTTTTATTCATCAGAACCGATTTGAAGGAAGTTAGTATTACATCACTTGCTTACCAATGGATACTCTGCAGTGAATGGGTGCCATCAGAATGAGAGCTCAAACAGCTGATAAAAACATCACAACTCTAGTTGGTCAATTAATGTCTTGTAAAGTGAAAAAATGTGAGAACCAATTGGTAAGAAACTTTTTTTTTTTCTTTTTTGGTGAACTATTTCTTAAGTGATTCTTGTGATTCTGCCTACTACATTGTCAAAGTATTGTAATGCAATAATCTGCAACAGTTTAACTGCTGCAAAATAATATCTTCGACTTTTCAATACCATCATAAACAATTCAAGACTATTCACATTTTTGCTCTCTGTTTATGAAGCTAGGAATGTAAAGCTGCAACAAGCGGCCTAAGTGGCTGCTAAAATAGTGTCTCTGAACATATGTCAATTTATTGCAAATTTATTCAGTAGATGCCACATTTCTTATTCTCAGCTAAGTTGCTCTCTATAGCCTTGACTAATTCTAATTTACATTTCAATTGCAGCTGTCTTATGAAGAGTCTTTTGCTTTGGTTTGTGATATACAACATGGGTGTGTGAGCTTCAGTCTGGCGAGGCTCCGTATTCTCTTCTCTTACTCTCTGCTCTCTTGTGTCACTGTCATAAAATTATTTGCTAGTTTCTCTAATTCATATTTTTAGACTTTTTCCAGACATTGTTTTTCTTGTAGTATGAAAAGTATTTACAAGATAAAGCACTTGCAGTGGGTTAATGTGTAATGCAGTTTGAGTCTTCACATAACTGTACCAAATGTTGTATTCTACTACCTCGCAACAAGAGACCTCAATGTGTATTTTTACATTTATATCATGTAAAAGTTATTTTATTACAGTTATTTGCAATCATGTTGGTACTAATTTTAGATCTCTCATGTCTTTTCTTCAACAGTCTGGACATGAAACTCTTAACAGTTTTTACATATAACACTGTCCCGTATTCAAAACATTGCATTGTGTATTCGTATCTTAAAACCGTGCACTTGCAGAATCATTGGTTACAACTTATTTTTCATTAAATACTATAGGAACATTAACTTAGATCACCCACACACAAGATACTTGTTTCACTAGGGCTGGGTTTTGACACAAATTTCTCGATTCAATTCGATTCTCATTCACAAGCTTGCGATTCGATTCGATTCGATTCAATATCGATTATTTTGG